GGAAAGAGGGGGAGGATATAGGTTGCACTGTGAGGTTGTAGGTAAAATTCAACTCTGGGGAATGGAGTTTCTAGCTTGTGTGGGCTCACAGATACACAGACAGTTGACAGGATATATTCATTTGTGAATGTAGCGTGTGTTTATCTAATAAGTTTTCAATGAGAATATTAGCCAAAAACTGCCTGGTATGTTATGGTAACACTTGGGTTTGTCAGGGTTCCATGTTCTGAGGCTGAATTGCATATGAAAAGATTGTGTTATGCCAGGGTGGGGCCGTTGTTCCTTTCCTTTTGTGTGGGTTTTATATAAGTGTTTTGTATCTTTTTCATTTTGGCCTTTTGAATTCATTTCAGGTTTAGACTTCTGCTAACATGGGAATAGGGCCCTATAGTATTTGACTGTAGTTTTGAAATCAGATATTACAAAAATATGAATGCCGGGGAATTCCCTGGTGGCCTAGTGGTTAGGATTTCGGGCTTTCACTGTCGTGGCCTGGGTTCAATCCCTGGTTGGGGAACTGAGATCTTGTAAGCCGTGTGGCCAAAAAAACCCAAAAAACCAAAAACAAAACTCACGAATGCCATCTATTAAGCCATGATAACTAATGTTGGTTTAGTTTTTTCAAATCTTAACCATTTAATGATTATCCTTTTTTTTTTTTTTACCTCATCCCTGTCTCTTAACCTCAGGGAAAGCTTTAGGCAAATCAACAGTGGTACCTGTTCCATATGAAAAGATGCTACGAGATCAGTCAGCTGTGGTGGTGCAGGGGCTTCCAGAAGGAGTATCCTTTAAACATCCTGAAAACTATGATCTTGCAACCCTGAAGTGGATTTTGGAGAACAAAGCAGGGATTTCATTTATCATTAAGAGGTGAAGTACTTTCTCCCTTGCCCTCAACAGTTTATTCCTATAAAGTTGAATACCTAAGTTATGTTAATATGTTTTTAATATTCTTGTTTACCGTAGAAGCCGTTTAAATTTATGCTTTATGATAATTTTGTGTATTTACGTATAGTTTTTTGTTTTGTTTTAATGCAGACCTTTCCTAGAGCCAAAGAAGCTCCTAGGTAAGTGATTGTTTTGCTTACATGATAACAGGATGGGTTCCTAAACCTGTTGTGTCAAATTTAATACATTTTAATGATTTCTCCTTTATTTTCTTTGAGAATATGTCGTAAGGCGTTTTGGAGTGGAGTGTTATGGTGTTTATATAAACCAGTGAAAAGTCATTGAGCTGAAAAACCAGAGACTTATTTTTTGTTTTCAACTCAGCTTCTTGCATTATGATGTATTTAAGGTTTTATGTTTGCAATGTGTAAGGTCATATCCTGGATCTGCCCTCATTTCCCAGAATTATGAGTGATTTAATTTACATAGTGTTCACTGAGCAGGCACGGAAATATTGGGCATAAGATTGGGTGAAGAGGGGATACAAAACCATGTATAAGCATTAAAGCTTTTTAGTGCTGGTAGTCTAGTGGTGGAGATAAAAACCTGTAAAGTCACCACAAGAGCACAGCGTACACGTTGTAGGAATGGTTAGTGGAGGTTCGTTGGAGGAAGCCCAGGAAGATGTTTATGAGGAAGAGGGCATTAAGATGGGTCCTTGAAGAAAGAAGAGGATTTCAATAGGACTTCCTTCTGGGAAGGCCAGACATTCCATTTGAAGGGAAAAGGGGTATTTAGAAGACTAGTACCCTTTGGAGCCAGGGTTACTTGAGACTTTTAAAAGGAAATAACCATTGTCATTGGCAACCCCTTAAGCAACGTAAACATGAAAGGGCAAAATAATATATAGACACCCAAGTGTATACTGTTTTCTGATAAGTAACCTTTGTTATTTTCACCATGATGAAAAGATTAATATATATATATATATTTTAAATAAATTTATTTAATTTTTGGCTGCATTGGGTCTTCGCTGCTGCACACGGGCTTTCTCTAGTTGCAGTGAGCGGGGGCTACTCTTTGTTGCGGTGCACAGTCTTCTCATGGTGGTGGCTTCTCTTGTTGCAGAGCACAGGCTCTAGGCGTGCAGGCTTCAGTAGTTGTGGCACACGGGTTTCAGTAGTTGTGGCTCGCGGGCTCTAGAGCACAGGCTTAGTAGTTGTGGCGCACGGGCTTAGTTGCTCCGCGGCATGTGAGATCTTCCCGGACCAGGGCTCGAACCGTGTCCCCTGCATTGGCAGGCGGATTCTTAACCACTGCGCCACCAGGGAAGCCCGAAAAGATTAATATTTTAGAAGCTTTGTTGAAGTATAGTTGACATGCCATAAAGTTCACACATTTTAAGTATATAGTCCCTGTAGTATATGGAATTGCTTTGGCAACTTAGTTGACCCTGTTTATTTCTGGACTTTCTACACAGTGAGTCATGTTGTATGTAAATCAAGATAGTTTACTTTGCAATCTGAATGCTTTTTATTTTTTAATTTTGTTGCTCTGGCAAGGATGTCCAATGCAGTATTGAGTAGAAGTGGCCATAGCATACATCACCTTGTTCTTGATACTAGGTGGAAGACATTCAGGCTTTCACCATTATGATGTTAGGTGTTGGTTTTTGTATATGCCCGTTTTAAGATTGAGAAAGTGTAGATTTATTTGTCATATTTAAATTAAATTTCACTTTTTTGTGATCAGTATTTTTTTTCCCTGAAGTACTCTAAGTATACTAAGTAAACTAAGTATCCTTAGTTTGCTATTTGTATTTTATGAGGTCTTTGATTCTAGAAACTTGTTCTGAAACATTGGGGCCTGGTGGTTAATTAAAGAATGTTTCTATAGGGTGTTTTATAATAATGAGTTGTCCAAGTGGGTGGGTTTGTATGACTCAGGTCTTTTTTGCCTTACCAACTTTCAAAGTAATTGAAAAGTTGCAATTGTAATGGAATTGTATTTTCCAGTGTAAAAATGTTTTAACAGGCTTATTGAGATGCAATTGACGTACAGTAAACTACACTTATTTAAAGTGTACAGTTAAGTTTTGACACATGAATATTCTGTGAAAACCATCACTGCAATCAGGGTAATGAAACATCCTTCACCCACAGGCTTCCTCACACCCCTTGGTAATTCTTTTCTTCTCTCTGCCTCGTCCCCAGGCAATCACTCATCTTCTTGTCGTCAGCATAGATGTGTCTGCATTTTATAGATTTTTTTTTTTAATAGAAAAGGAATCTTATAGTATGTACTCTTTTTTGTTTGTTTGTTTTGCTTCTTATTTTGCGATTTATCCATGTTTCATGTATCGGTAGTTATTTTTTTTATTGCTGATTAGTGTTCCACTGTATAGATATATTACAATTTGTTTACTCATTCACTTGCCCATGAATATTTGGGTTTCCATTTCTTGGCAGTTATAAAGAAAGCCACTATGATATTTGAGGGCAGGTTTTTATGTGGGCATAATATTTTCATTTCTCTTGGGTAAATACCTGAAAGGGAATAGTGAGATCATGTGGTAGTTACATATTTACCTTTTTAAGACACTGACAAACTGGCTTTCAATGTGTTTGTTCCAGTTTACGCTCCCACCAGCAGTGTGTGAATTCTAGTTGTTCTACATCTTTGTCATCATTTGGGCGGGGTGGGGAGTCAGTCTTTCCTCTTTTATTTTCACAAACATAAAATTCCCTATTTTATGTTGTGTAATTCAGTGGGTTTTAGGATATTTGTAAGATGTACAACTATCACCCTGTCTCATCACCTCAAGAAGAACACTGTACCTGTTAGCAGTTACTGTTTTCCAGTTCTTCTGATCCAGATCTACTCTTAATAGAAATCTGGCATCATTTATACATCGGTATTATTCAGTAATAGTGTATTGGTGTATTTGTTTCACTGATAAGAATAAGAGCTTTCTCATTAAAGGGAGGGTTCTGGAGGGTTGAGGGGATAAAAGCTCTTAGATGATTATCATCCCTAATTACCTTCCTTATAGGGGAGAACGAAGGACACTCTTAAACTAACACCATACTCATTCTGATGACCCAGAGCTGTGAACTCCCTTCCCCAGGTCATTCTGTATTTAGGACCTTTGGAAATGTTAGTCATACTTCAAGTATTGGAAGAATCTAAATCTAATTTTCTTTGTACACAGGTGGTCGAGTGACTGTAACAGATGCTGAAAGGTCAATGCTATCTCCAGGTGGAAGGTAAAGCATATCTCATCAGTACTAATGAACCTCTACACCTCAGCAAGTTTTAGTGTTTAGATTATTGAGGTATTAGAATATTAAAAAGCACTGTGTCACACATCTCGATGTTTAATAATGCAGTTGAATCCTTTGGAGGTCCTGTGAAAATGCACTTTTTGACTTAGTAGTTTTGAATGGTAATTGTTCCTGGGTGAAGCTGATGTGATTGGTCTGAGGACCACATTGTGAGTAGGAAGACCTTATAGTAAAAAGACGGGATTTGCTACTCTGGTGTTGTTTTATTATACTTTTCCCTCCCATATGGTTGATTGGAATTAAAGTACTAAATTCAGTTGACAGGTTATTTATGCAAGAAATTAATATGTAAATTTTAAAGTGAGTCAGTTTTGCATTGAGCTTGGTCGGGTGAATGAGTTTATACAGTGAGTTCCAGGACATTTGAGCACTGTGTGAGTGGCCCTCACAATGCAGAACTTCATCAGGGCTTCTTTTCCTTTCAGTTGTGGCCCCATCAAAGTGAAAACTGAACCCACAGAAGATTCTGGTATGTACTTGTGCTTTTAGACTCAATTATGAAATGTAAGAAGCCTTTTCCTTAATGTAGAAGGTTGTATTTTGACTCATTGCTTTGGTGCGAAGCAGACAGAACAAATTTATTCCAAAGGTGACGTTGTTAATGTTACTGTATTATACTAAAACCCTAAGATAGTAATTTGTTTGACAAAGTGGTAGCTAGAAATTCATTGCTAATTACACATTTATAGAGAAAATTTATTAATAGTTTTTTCCAATTACACAGGATAATAATAATAAATGTCATCTAGTCCTATAGTGCTTTTTACAAAAATCAGTATAATATCGTCTTGACTCTGCCTTTTCCCATTGCATTCCCATTTTTTTTTACTCCCCAGGGAAACTGTCTTTAACTCTAAGCTGCTTTTGGTATTTAATTCTTTATTTTCATTTTTATTATTTATTTATTAAAAAATTTTTTATTAGCGTATAGTTGATTCACAATGTTAGTTTTAGGTGTACAGCAAAGTGTATCAGTTATACATACACATATCCACTCTTTTTCAGATTTTTTTTTTTTTATTTTGGCTGTGTTGGGTCTTAGTTGCAGCATGCAGGATCTTTTTTGTTGAGGTGTGCAGGCTCTTCATTGTGGCGTGTGGGCTTCTCTCTAGTTGTGGTGTGCGGGTTTGTTTTTTTTTTTCCTCTCTCTCTCTAGTTGTGTGTGGGCTCTAGTCTGCCTCACGCGAGTACGTGGCCTTAGATGCCCAACCGGGGATGGAACCCGCATCCCCTGCATTGGAAGGCAGATTCTTTACCACTGGACCACCAGGGAAGTCCCTTTTTTTAGATTCTTTTCCCTTATTTAGATTCTTTCCCATTACAAAGAATTGCTTAGTAATTCTTTATTTTTAAATGTCATTCTCATACTATTTCATATAGTTTTCTTTTTATAAATTTATTTATTTTTGGCTGCATTGGGTCTTTGTTGCTGTGTGCGGGCTTTCTCTAGTTGCAGTGAGTGGGGGCTACTCTTCATTGTGGTGCGCGGTATTCTCATTGCGGTGGCTTCTCTTGTGGAGCACGGGCTCTAGGCGCGTGGGCTTCGGTAGTTGTAGCGAGCAGACTCAGTAGTTGTGGCTCGCGGGCTCTAGAGTGCAGGCTCAGTAGTTGTGGCGCACGGGCTTGGTTGCTCCGTGGCATGTGGGATCTTCCCGGACCGGGGCTTGAACCCGTGTCCCCTGCACTGGCAGGCGGATTCTTAACCACTGCGCCACCAGGGAAGTCCTGTGGCTTTTCTTTTCTTAATGATGTCCTTCGAAGCCTAGAAGTTTTTAATTTTGATCCAGTTTTCCAAGTTTTTCTTCTGTCACTTTTTTGTGTGTGTGTCTGTGGTACGCGGGCCTCTCACCGCCGTAGCCTCTCCCGTTGCGGAACACAGGCTCCGGACGCGCAGGCTCGGTGGCCATGGCTCACGGGCCCAGCCGCTCCGCGGCATGTGGGATCTTGCCGGACCGGGGCACGAACCCGTGTCCCCTGCATCAGCAGGCAGACTCTCAACCACTGTGCCACCAGGGAAGCCCTCTTCTGACACTTTTGCCTTTGGTGTTACATCTAGAAAATCTTTGCCCAACCTAAAGTCATAATGATTTTTATACTTATGCTTTCTTCCTGAATTTATAGTTTTAACTCTTAAATTTCGGTCTAAGAGCCATTTTAAGTTAATTTCTGTGCATGTTGTGATGTAAGGGTCTAAATTTATCATTTATCATTTATCATGTGAATATCCTGTTGTCCGAGCATCATTTGTTGAAAAGATACCCTTTCTCCATTGGATTGCCTTATTGGCATGTTTGTCAAAAATCAATTGACCAAGTTTACTTCTGCACGTTCCACTCTATTCCACTGAACTCTAATGCCTATTCTTCTTTTTTTTTTGCGGTACGTGGGCCTCTCACTGTTGTGGCCTCTCCCGTTGCGGAGCACAGGCTCCAGACACGCAGGCTCAGTGGCCACGGCTCACGGGCCCAGCCGCTTCGCGGCATGTGGGATCTTCCCGGACCGGGGCACGAATCCGTGTCCCCTGCATCGGCAGGCGGACTCTCAACCACTGCGCCACCAGGGAAGCCCCTCTAATGCCTATTCTTAGGCCAGTACCATACTGTATTTCATGTAGGTTTTTAAAAAAAATAATAATTTATTTTGTATTTTATTTATTTTTGGCTGCATTGGGTCTTCGTTGCTGCACACGGGCTTTCTGTAGTGCGGTGAGCCAGAGCCACTCTTTGTTGCGGTGCATGGTCTCCTCATTTCGGTGGCTTCTCTTGTTGCGGAACATGGAGCTCTAGGCACGCGGGCTTCAGTAGTTGTGGCACATAGGCTCTAGAGCGCAGGCTCAGTATTTGTGGCGCACCGGCTTAGTCGCTTCGTGGCATGTGGGATCTTCCCAGACCAGGGCTCGAACCCGTGTCCCCTGCATTGGCAGGCTGATTCTTAACCGCTGTGCCACCAGGGAAGCCCTTCATGTAGTTTTAAGGTTTGGTTTTATTTGTTGCCTATTAACGTGGAAAATGAGAATATAATTACTTTACCATTTGTTTCCAATACATCTTCCCTTTTTCCCACTTTTATCATAGAGGTAAATTGATTTTTACTATTCAGGTTCTTTTAGAATCGAGCATTGTCTTGGACATTTTACTTAATGTTTGCTTTCTTGCCATGTTCCATTTCTAGGGCAGAGTATTTTTGCTTATTTTAAAAACATACAGGTCTTCCTGACTTGATTACAATTTTATTGTAATAATTTATTGTTACTCTGGTTCTATGATACGAGTCAGAATGACAGCAACTTCATCTTTTAAAAAGAATATATAATTTTTAAAGGTCATCATATTATTACTAGGGATATATTTTTAAATTAGTCTTGGTGATTGGTAAGGAAAAAATGGATTTTTACAGTTTTTTCTTACTAAAGGCACATATAAACTATGATGTCTCCTGTTCGACCTCTTGCAGAGGATGGGTGCCAATTGATATTACGTTGTGTTACATCTGAATTCTCACTGTTGCAGGGCCTGTCACTGTGGGGCTTTTGCTGTACTCTCAGATTACTTCAGAAATTATCTTATGCAGTGAATTTCAGATTTAGAGTTCATCTAGGAACACGAGGATGATTTTATTAGAAAAATCTCTTAATTCATTTATGTTATTGAACTAATTACAAATAATATATCATTTAGGTAGATGATGAAAGGCAGCAGAAATTCTTAACATGATCGGGTGGAATATTATGTATAATTGTAAACGCCACCCCCTCGTGTTTAATAGTGAACCACAAGAAGCACTCCTCGTAAGACACTAGCACATTCTCATGTTTCTTACCAGTGTTCCAGATGTCCAAACCATTACAAATAAGAGTAAGTAATTAGAAAATGCAGGGTACCATTAACTTTTACAGGTGATATGATTATGTATACAGAACACTAAAGAGATCAACTAGAAAACTACGAAAAACAAAACATCCATAATCCACTTCAAGAAGTGTTAAAAAGTCTGTGTTAAAGTGTTAAAAACCAACTTAGATTAAAAGCGATTAAAAAAATTTAATAATCCTTTGAAAGCTTTCTAAGCAATAAAATTTGACTAGGGAAAAATTCTAAAAATTTTGTAATGCAAAATCAGCCAAAATGTATCAGAGGACATGTAAGAACAGGGAATGGCTATTTGCAAGACAAATGACAAAGGGTTGTTTTACTTGACTTACAAAGAGCTAATCCAAGAAATAAATGACCAAAGATTCAAGAGAAAATGCTCAGTTTAGTTAAAGAAATGGAGATAAAAATCCAAGGAAGATAAAGTTCTGCACTCAGCAGATTGGCAGACGTTAAATTCTGCTTATACCCAGTCTCAGTAAGGGTGTAGAGAAACGGGCAGTTTTAAAAATTCTTGATGTGTGTAATAATTACTGCTGTCTTATGGAGGATACTTCGGTAATATCTCTCATTTGGAGATGCACATGTTCTTTGACCCATTGCTGCTTTGCAAAAAGAGCAATTAACCCGCAACTCCATTAGTGAATTTGTGTTGTCTTTGAACACGGTGAGGCAATAGGTCTGTATCCAGTGATGCACAGGTATATCTATAAGACAGACTACTTGTTAGCTAGAGAAAAGCTAGATGTGATAAAAGAAATGAACAATATTGTAATGCCTTAAACTTTGTATTTAAAAATGTTACATTTTGAAATTATTGCCAGCTAATAAAAAACCTGCATGTATAATATAAGGACCTTTTTCTTGTGCCAATGTGATACCCTACCTTTTTTTTTTTTGGTGGGGAGGGAAAAGGAAGAACACCAGGTGTGTTTAGTGTGCAGCAGGAGCACCAGGGATCTTTCCCAAAGCAGTGTGTCCCCTGTCACTCTTTCAGCTACTTCAGCGTGTGATTCCTAGAAGCAAGGATATTGTCCCACATTACTACAATATAATCATCAAAGTAAGGAGGATAAATTACTCCTAATTCTCAAACCCTTTGCACGTTTTGGGTTTGTTGGTTTGTTTGTTTTCCCATTAATGGCTTCTTCAGCTTCCTCAGGCTTTTCTGGTCTTCTGTGACCATGACACTTCTATTTGTTTGTTTGTTTTTTGTGGTACGCGGGCCTCTCACTGCTGTGGCCTCTCCCGTTGCGGCCGAACGCTTAGGCTCAGCGGCCATGGCTCACGGGCCCAGCTGCTCCGCGGCATGTGGGATCCTCCCGGACCGGGGCACAAACCAATGTCCCCTGCGTTGGCAGGCGGACTCTCAACCACTGCGCCACCAGGGAAGCCCT